AGCCTGGTGGTGGGTATTGAGGAGGGCACATTCTGCATGGAGCACTGGGTGTTATGCACAAACAATGAATCATGGAACACTTCATCTAAAACTAATGATGATATGTAGGGGATTAACATAAGAATAAAAAAAAAATAAAAGACCCAAATAAAAAAATAAATAAATAAAACCACCAGACAAGAGGGGATCTGTAACAGAGCCTTTCTTTAGATGGAGGACCTGACTGGGAGAATGGGGAGTAGTTTTAAGAACCTGGAAGAAGCATGCTGGGGTAACCCAGGGGGGCTTCATGACTGGGTTCCTCTGTGTTACTCAAGAAGATGGGCTCACCCATGACCCACCAGAGAGGTGCCTAGGAGGCTGACTATGGGATTTTACCTCAGATAGCTGGGCACTATTTCAGCCCCACTGAGGACTCCTAACTCATCCCAATAATAATGCTCTGAGAGAAGCCACAATCTCAGGATTCTACACAGCAGAGAAGGGAGGGGGGTATGGAGGAGGGGTTTCTCCAGTTTGCCCAGTGGGGCCAAAGCAAAAACAGAACCAAATCATGACAACAAGACTGGATGGGGACAGGGCAGAAGTCTAGCGACAGGCTCCAACTAAGTCCTGCCAGCCGCAGCCAGCCAGAACCTGGCCGATTCCTTACTGATGAAGAGGGGTAGGGATCCGAGAAGCACATAATAGCCTGCCCAAGTAGACTCTGATCCTTACCCTTCCTCATCTTCCACTTTAGCCATGTTGTACTAAAAACTGAAGTCTGGCCCTAGCAAAGAGACTGCTGTGATAAAGGAGAACTGGAGAGGGAATCACAGTGTGAATTCCCAAGGTGCACAATTCCCTCTATACCATGGGGCACCCAGAAAATCTGCATAAGCCCTGTACTTCCAACCGGACAAAAGGTGGGGCTTCGCTCAACACACTGGGAAAATCCACCATGGTTTGACTTGGTTAATTTTCAATCTTTTCCTCTCCCCTTTGAAGTGCAAGACCTTACGTACGCAGGACTGAGTCTGGGTATGTGGCCTGCCGGCCTTGCATGCTGCAGCTGGGTGATTGCTGTGATTCTTGGTATGCTCTGGGCCTGTGATACTTCCAAGCCCATCCTCCCTGCTTCTCTGTGCTGTCACTCTGGCTGCTGGCCCTCTCCTTGCTGTGGGTCCTACCTTCAAATCACTCTATGATTCAAAGATGAACTGCCAATCAAATGCTTCCATAATGAAAGACCTAATCACTCTACAGCATGTGTACATTCAATGAGCCTAACCAAGACCTCTGTTGGCCATGCTGGGAGGCTGTTGCCTGAGAACAGGCCCAAGCCCAGTGTGGAGGTTGGGTGACTGGCTAGGTGATCTCGGCAGTGGGCCCCTCGTTGTTTTGAACTACTTAGGACTGTGCAACGGAGCTTGGGAGCAAAGCCGATAGAGGCTTCCCAGTGGGCCTTAACTCCAGCAAGCCAAGACAGAGTAAGTTCTTATTCTGTAGCCCAGGGTTTCTCCAAGTATGGTTCATGAACCATGTACATCAGCATCAGCTAGAGCTGTTTGGTTAAAATGCAGATTCCTGGGCCCCTCTCTAGACTGAATGAATCCGTGGTGCTCAGGCTCAAAAAAAGTCTACATTTTAAACCAGCTCTTCAGATGATCCTGGTGCAAGTTTGCGAACCCTTGCTGGAGAATGACTACAGTTTGAAAATGGCTCTAAGTACTCCAGCCAGTTCTGCTAAGCCGAAGACCAGAACCCGAGAACAGAAATGGGGAAATTACATCCTTCTGTGGCAGATTACACAGCTGTCACTTGACTTCGCATCCAAGTGCCATGGGCTGAGACGGACGCAAGGGAAGGGGGAGTGTAATGCATGTTCACTGCCTCTTCCCCAGGCATTATCCTTTCAGTGGTCCTGGCTGGCGTTCTTGGCATCTGTGTTGTCCTGGCAGTGTCCATTTGGCTCTTCAGAAGAAAGAAGAGGTGAGCTGGTTTTGGTTCAAAATGGCATTCGGGTAGCTTATTTGTCCATGAGGATTGATCTGTTTGGGAAGGCAGTCTGCAGAATGAAGAGCCCCCTGCACCTGTACCAACACTTATCCTAGGAGTGCTGTTTCCCAAACACCATGGCCCCCAGCCTCCTTTGCATGAGACACTGGATCATTATGCTCAGAGGTGGAGGTGTGTCCACCAGCCTGCTGCCATGGCTAACACCTTAAGACACGTTTCTTGATTTGGGGATGGGGAGGTCCCATTTGCCTAAACATAAGCAGCAAGGCTGTCTTCTTTCTAACATCTTTACATCTGTTTTTTTGTCTCTGAATTCAAAAAGAAAAATGAAGGGAAATTTGATGTATCACTTCCATTAGCTATTAATGCCCTTTGCTCATGTTTTTATTGTCATGTTTGGTTTTTCTAAAACCAATTTATTTTTCTAGAATGTATAAAAAAAAATTTCCAGGAATCCTGTTATGGAATCAAAGCTTTAAAGTTGGGGTGGTAATGAGACCTTCTTCAAAATGCCGGTCTAGTATCATCAGCTGTTTTAAGAGAACAACTGGAAAATGACCCGGTTCCTTTTTGGTTAATGCTTTATTTTGGGGGCATTCCTCCCAAGACCATCAGAACAGGGGAAAGGTCCCCACGAGAGGAATCTGACCCCTAAAATTCATCTCATTCCGTAGCTGAGTCAGGCTGTTCTCTGCTTGTCTCTTCTCTTTAACTGAGACTTGTGTGTTCTTCTTGTTCCAGTAGCAAAAAAGGTGACAACAAAGGAGTCATTTACAAACCGGCCATCAAGAAGGAGACTGAGGCCCATGCCTGAGGCCCCAGAACTCCCAGGCACATCCAAGGAAGGACTTTGCTTTGGGCACTACACACTGTGGCTCCCTAGACATTTGAAATACCTGAGGGTTCTCTGAAGCTCAACCCACAAATGCCCCAGACCCACGGGGGGCCTTTAGGTGGGTGCCCTGCCATCCTGATGCCACGGCCACTGCCCGTACGATCTGTGGATGGCAAGAGCTCGCCAAAGAGGCAGGAACTCTGAGCTGTCTGCTTCAGCTGTGTGAGACCATGAGGTTGTCTGGATTCTGGGGCCACAAACCAAGTCACCCACTGGGGGCTGTGATTGGTCAGAAAACACTTTCATCCAGGGATTCACTTGAGTGTGGTTTCAAGGATCCTGGCAATTCTGAGTCTTGTCCAAGCTTTCAGACCAGAATGTGCACTCTCCGCTTAGATTTTGCTTTTGAGACTCGGTTTCTTTCCTCAGGGAAGGGATTGTTGTCTTCCTCTGATTTCCTTCTGCTATGACAAAACTTTTGGTCTGACCTTACACCTGGGAGGAAGAATGATATAGGAAGGGTCAAGGTGTCAAGAGACAAAAAGAAAACAAAAGATATTCTTTGAAACACAGTAGCGGCATTTCCGAAGTCCTGTCCTTTGGATCAAATGCACTGAATGGGCCCGAGAGAGACAGAATGAGAAGACGCATAAGGTCTGGAGGAACTCACGCTGGAGTCAGAACTGGAGTCAGAAGTCGTCAAGTCTAAGTGTGAGAAGGACAGAATATTAAGCCCAAGCCCAACCTCCTGTCAGCGGCACAGTTATGCTTTGTACTTCACAGACTTTATAAATAATTAGGCTATTCCTTGAAAAGTGTTGTTACTTTCTCTCTCCTAGAGTAGACACGAGTTCTGAAATGACCCAAACTGCTTTTGAATCTAGAGAAAATAGGCAGAAGCAAAATGACTGAAGAGCTTTGTCTCTTGCCCAGATTTCATTTTGGCCACTTCTGTGGTGTCCCTACTGCCAATCTAGAATTGGGATGTACCTACTTCCCTGACTTTGAGGATGTTGAGTCATGGCTTGGTTAAAATCTATTTTCAAGCTATGAAAGCAGGAAGTTATCTGTGCAGGGTGGGGGCATCATGGTATTTAGGGACCAATAATAATGGAATGTTACAAAGATGCTTCATGATCTTCTACCCAAGCCATAGTTTCTGAGAAGACTTAACTCTTCCATAGATATAAGAGTCCCTTGGAGACCAGTTAGTTCCATGACTGGGAAGGAGCCTCCACCACCAACCTCTCATGGCCGGCACCTTGCAGTTCACAGAGAACTTTCGATTCCTGGTCTCATTTTGACAACATGGAATGTCCTATCAAAGCACAGGTTTCTTTATAACATCTTTTCCTTCTACTCCTCCCTCTCACTCTGAGAACAGTCTTCTCCCTTCTCTACCATCATGACTTTTTGTAGTGGTGGCAAGCCCCATGGCTTTGTAGCTAGTTTGCTAAACAGAGGTGCAGAAGACCTAATGAACACTCGGACGTGTGTGTGCACAGGATCTCTGACAGCCTCGGAGCCTGGGGCGGCATCCTCGCCTTGCCGTTAGCATGCCTGATGCTGATCGAATGACAGCAGGGACAAGCCTCATGACATAGCATTGTGAATTAGGTGATGCTTCCGTGGCCTTGGCCCAAAGTTGCCAATCAGAAAGCAACATAAATCACTCCAGAGTCCTGGGACTATCTCTCTACCTTTTATGGACAAATTTTGCAAGAGAACAAAGAGACCATTGTACCTGGCACAACAGCTGTTCATAAAAAGGGAGATTGACTAGGCCATGAAAAGAGTGGCATTTTCTCCTGCCCTGTGGCTGAGATAAAGCAAAGCTAGGGAGGCAGGCAGAAGGCTCCAAGAATCAACACTGTCAACTTCCTTGCTAATCATTATGGGGCTCCTGGGGACCAAGCTTGGAAACTGGGAAGGCTCTCCTCAGGTTCTCACTCATTCCACCAACACCAGTCGCCACTGAAGGAAACCAGCACTGTGGCGTGTGAAGTTCCTCTGCCTCACTCGCACCCCCTTGAAGGCCCAGGTGCTGGGCTGGGTGCACTATGGGTAGAGATCACAAAAACAAGGCCCATGTGGGAAAAGGACAGGGAAGGCCCTGGCTTCTTTGTTTCTTACCAATGGGAGAGTTTGAGTCTCTTTGTTCTGTTTCTTTAGGATCATCTGGTAAAAATAGTAAAAACTTACACCTGTTTCCTTAATAGACATTCTAGGATTTTACTGCATTGATTATTAATCCCATTTCAAGTTCAGACCTTAAATTCTTCTTCCCTTCACTAAACTCTCTGACGGCCTCCTGAGCACCACCGGGAAGCACCAGGGTCTGCAGCACCCCTCTGTCCCTGTGCCTCGGATGGACCATAGGCCACTATGATGATGGTCTGTTTAGCACTTCTGTATTTATTGTAAGAATGACTGTAATGAAGACATAAACTATAAATATGAGAAATCATAAATAAAATGTTTTTCACATCAGACTGATTTTTTTGGAGGTGAGGTTAAAGCATTACTGTTGGCAAAGCACTCTGTAGTCCCCGGTCTATGGTGACAGGTAACTGATCAGAACAAGTAATGTCACTTGTCTATAATGTCTTAGGACCTGGCTCCAAAGGAAAATACACTGATGTACTTAATCATTTTACTGAGGATGGAGGCCCATAGTGTGTGCAGCCCTGGAATCACATAGCTGCTTAGCGAACAGAGCTGGGAAGTCTGGAATAATCAGGGAAAGGCTCAGAGAGAAGCGGGTATCTGAGCTGGGCCTCAAAGAAGAAGTCAAATTTGAACAGAAGGATGGAGAGAGGGAGGCATTCCTAACATGAATATAAAGACTGGGCCTTATGTCTCTCTACTTCATTGGGTATTGCACTTAGTAGGTTGGAAGCCTCTCTTGGTTGCCTATTACCTATTTTGGATTTTTTTTTTTTTTTTCCAAGACATGCTATCATCTTCCATACAATTTTTTATCTAAATCCAGATTTCACATTCTGGTTTGGTGGAAGAGGCAATCCTGTAGAGGTTACAAACAGGCACCACCACGGTTTGTTTATTTAGAAAAGCTTCCAATTTTCATTGCAGTTGCCCAAGGATGGAAACAGATGAACCGTCCAAGGGTAATTTTGCTCTAGTAGGTTTAAAGCAGTGGGCCCGGCTTTAGAATAGCAACATTATAAACCGTCCAGGTTCTGATGGTGTCTTCAGTCAGAACACAGGTATTTTTCAGTTCGCCCCCTTTAGCATCCTTCAGAGGTAAGGACAGGTGGAGCAAGGCACCCACAGTGCCTGCGCAACTCTCATTCCTTTGCACCTGCTCCCACCCCCCTGGGGCTGGGGTGGCAGGAGGCGAGGTTGGAGTAAGCAACAGAAATCATCTCCCCTCCCCCACTCCCTGCCTTCCATACCCTTGCTCCCCATTCCCTGACTCAAGATTCTTTGGGGTTGATGATCAGGGGCATGTGGTGGCAAGAGCCATGGATTGGCAGGGGAAACTCAAGTCTTCCCTCAGGCTGGCCATTACCTCCTCATGTAAATCCAGCGATATGGACAATCTAGAGCACATAGGCGGATAGAATATAAGACGATACAACACGAGACAGGTGAAAATTTAAAGTTATGGTAGCCACACACCCCAAAAAGGAAAAAAAAATAGCCACATCAATTTCAGTAATATATTATAAAGCCCAGTAGATCCAAAATACTATAACTTCAACATGTAATCAGTATTTTGATAGGAGATAGTTTCATTCTTTTCTCTGCAGTAACTCTCTGAAACCTAGTGTGTATTTTAAATTAACAGCACAGCTCAATTCAGATGCTAAATTTTCATTGAAAATATTTGATCTGTGTTTAGGTTTCACAAAATTACAGTGGAAAAAGCAGATTCACATGCCCGAGTTGCTCCAAACAGGCTTAAAAGTTTTCCAAAACCTGAACCAATTATCAGCTTTTAAATTGAAATTGATTGAAGTAAAATAAATCAAGCTTTTTCTCACTTTCATCAGACACATCCTAAGTGCTCATAGCCACACGTGGCCAGCGGCCAGCACAGCCACTGTGCAGATATGGACCGTTAACCTTCTCCTTTGACATACCCTTTGGGAGGGTTAAACCTAGAGAGCTTTCATGCAAAATGCACCTGAGAAGAAAGCTTTGGGGGCTGAGGGATGGGAGATGAGAGATAGAGGATGGGGGAATTCAGGCAGCTGAATATGGAGGATGGAAGAAAAGAGGGCAGACAGAAAATCAGGCCAAGGTGAACAGACCAGCAGACCTTAGGCACAGCTCCCCTTCTCCTTATACCTCTTTTTGTAGCTCCATGGGGGTTCTCCAGCCCTCCCTGCCCTGGATATGTCCCTTGGCCAGGCCCTGGGCTACAGGTGCTCAGCAGTGACTTGACCTAGAACATTCTGGTGCCTTTGCAGGAGCTTGAGCAACAGGCATGAGGGTGCCTGGTTAACTTGTTGGGGGACCTCGCTGCAGGACCCTGGCCAAGTGCCAGGTGCTAACTGTCCCCCTAACAGCCCCCTCCTGATCTCCTCAGGGTCTGAACATTCCCGCTTTGTCTCCACCCTTCTGGAGCTGGCCAGCCTGAAGGGAGCAAATGCCTGAAACCTGAGTCTCTTGAAATGTCAGCTGAGCTCAGTCCCTCAATTTGGAAGGATTGCAAGTTGCCTTCCGTCAAGGGTGGGGAAAGTTATGAGGCAAGAGGAAAGGAGACTTCTGCAGCTGCCTGCTGGGAAACGGAGTTGCCATCTGCGTCCACACTGTGCACAGCCCGGCAGGGGTGCATGACCCTCTATGGTCCTCTGGCTCAGACTCAACTATGACAGGGTGGGGAGAAGGTGTGAGGCCCAGACAGTGCTGGAGAGGAGGGGCCCCATGCTCTACCTGTGCCCTGTCATTTTAGAATGACTGGGCAGGGATAAGGGCCAAAGTGCTTTGTGATATAGAATTATTCACCATAAAAAAAAAACTATTAGACCAGGCCAGCATATCGTTATGACTGCAGGTCAATCAGGGATTCAGTAAGCCTCCCACTTGTATATTCTAGACTGCACCTTCACTCAATTATCCCACAACCCAGGGAAAGAGGAAACAGAGCCTTTATAAGTGGGAAACCAAACAAGGGCTCTGGCTCTGGGCTAAGTGAAGGTCCCACAGCTCCTGCAGCTCTCTGATCCTCAGTGGCAGGATGGGGTCTGCCCTTCGCAGCTCCAGTGACATGGAAACATCTGGGAACAGAATTTTCCATGCTTATCTCAATCATGCCGCAACCTCACGAAGCCCCAAAGGCTAAAGACACTAAAGGCATTTGTGCCAATGATTTCTGGAAAGTCAACAACAACCTCCTGCCTCCAACCTGCTTAGTAATATTAAATCCTGGCCTCTGTTCAGGAAAAGTCTGACCAAAGATTACCAACTCCAAGTAGACAAAGGAGTCAGCTCAGCTCCTGGGATGTTACCCTCACCTCACCCTCAACAAACCAAATATGTCCCAAGGATACATTCATTGAACTTTCTCTATTCCTAAGGCTGAACTGGAGAGAAGGAATAAATACACACATGCACACACTCTATAATTCCATTTGTATAAAATTCTAAAAAGTGCAAAATACATTACAGTGATAAAAAGCAGATTGGTGGTCGCCTAGGGATGAGGTGGTGGGGGAAGGTGGGGGATGAAGGGATTACCAAGGGGGCACGAGAAATTGGTGAGGTGATGGATATGTTCATTATCCTGATTGTGGTGATGGTTCCCCCCACAGGTCAAGACAGTTCAAATTTTACACTTTAAATATGTGTCATTTATCTTACACCAATTATCCCTCCATAAAACTGTAAAAAAAGGAAGAAAAAGAAAACCCCCTACACCCAGCCAAATGACACCCTGCCCCGTCCTGGCATTTCCATTGAGAGCTTATCTCCTGATCCATCTGGAAGAAACCTGGCTAGAACTGGCACCTTCCCTGGGACCCACACTGTGGGTGGGAGCCCAGGAAGGAGTGTGATGTCTATTCACACAGTCAGCTATGACCTCTTGATACTGTAAGTGAAAGTCATTATTTCTGCTTGAGTTCACTAGTTTCAAATATTAACTTTTAATTACGTGCAATGAAGACAACAAACACAGGGCTATGGGTTCAAGGACAGATTTAGACCTCTATAGGAACTCTGTGTCAGTGATGACAGAGTCTACTGGCTTCTCTGCAAGAATCAAAGACTCTTGTGGTGAGGCAGGTAACAAACATAACCAGTGAGTTCATCTGCTGAAACTAGTTCCCCAAGCTACCTAGACATCCAACAACAGACCTCATGCATCTTAGCTTCTTTCCTTCCCAACCACCCAACAAATAACCATTTGAAAAGTTTTCCTAAATGAAGTACAATCTTCCCATGGAGAACAAGCATGGTTGGGAGCTTCTCACTTTCCCTGGGTGAAATCAGAATTAATCTCCTGTGATACTGTGATGTAGTAAGAAATATGTATGTGGTATTTGTCCCCAGTTCCTGGCACAGAGCTCCCAAATATTATTCATAATAAGCCCCTTTAAGGTGTACCTAAGTTTATGCTAAAGAGGTGATGCTTGGAGGATAGGGGAATGGTTGCCAGAGGAACCAGCCATGTGATTAGAGGGCTGGAACTTTCAGCCCTACCCCCTGACCTCCAGGAGAAGACTGGGAGTTGAATTCAATCGCCAATAGCCAATGATTTAATCAATCATGCCTACATAACAGGACCTCCAGAGAAACCCTAAACAATGGGGTTCAGAGAGCTTCCAATACATGGAGGTACTGGGAGGGTGGTGCACCCAAAAGAGGGGATGAGAGCTCTGTACCCCTTTCCCATACCTTGACATATATATCTCTTTATCTCACTGTTCATCTGTATTCTTTATAATATCCTTTATAATAAACCAGTAAATATAAGTAAATGTTTCCCTGAGTTTTGTAAGCTGTTCTAGCAAATTATCAGACATGAGGAGGGAGTCATCAGAACCCACAATTTATAGCCGGTTGGTCAGAAATACAGGTGACAGCCTGGGACTTGCAACTGGCATCTGAAGTGGGGGCAGTCTTGTGGGATTTAGCCCTTAACCTGCAGGGTCTGTTCTAACTCAGGGCAGTCGGTGCCAGAAATGAGTTAAATCATAATCTCATTTGGGGAAGCAAGCAGAAACCACTAACCATAGTATATAGAAGAGCAGCCTGTAAAGAATACTATGTGCCCATCAACAGAAGAACGGCTAAGCAAACTGTATATCCAAAAGATGGAATACTATTCAGCAAAAAGCTGTAAATTATTGATAAACAAAAAACATGGATGAATCTCAGAAAATTATGTTGGATGAAAGAAGTAAGCCACAAAAGAGTACATGTAGTGTTATTCCATTTATATAAAGTTCAAAATAAGTGAAATTAATCTATGGTGATAGAAGTTGGAACCAGTGGTTGCCTCTGTGGAAGGCGGGGTGGATTG